GAATTTTATTATAAACAATTGTCTTGAAAATGGAATTTTTAAAGCATTCTGAATGTAAAAATAAAGAAAAAAGTGTGCAAGACAATAAGAAACACTACCTGCCAAAAAAAAAGTGAAGTTTTGTTGAAATCGGCTGAAAAGTGTAGGAAATCCGATCCCATATATAAACGAACACACACACACAAACAACCTGGGTTTTAACCCGAAGTGAGTTGTCCCCCTTTCATTAATGCCTCTTAATCGTGTTTTCAAATTGATTTTGTGCAAAAACAATTGTGTTTTTCAATTTTTGGCGCTGTTAGAACCACCCTTGAGGTAATTTTACATAGTCCTGTGAAGTTTTGTTGAAATCGGTTGAAAAATGTAGAAAATCCGATCCAATATATAAACGTTACAGACACACACACACACAATCTGCGTTTTATAATAAGTAAGATATATATATATATATATATATATATATATATATATATATAAGTGTGCAGGTATGCAGAAAATAAGAAAGAACTCGTTGGGTGCATAATCCGGAGTTCCTTATTACTTTTTTTTTTATTTTTAAGAAGACAGTGCTCCATACTGAAGTAGAGCTTAATTATAATATTTTTTTGTTTAAAAATATGATTCCTTCACTTAATATGATTCCTTCAACTTAATTTTAATAATTATTTGGATGGTTTCGGCTCTCGTTTTTGAAACATGAGAACTCTTATCTTGAAGGAATCATATTTTTAAAAAAAAATATTATATATATATATATATATATATATATATGAAATATGACAAAACTGTTTGTTGATATATAAAATTATATATTGATATATCATATATATACAGATATATACACACACACATATATATATATATATATACATATATATATATATATATATATATGTGTGTGTGTGTGTGTGTGTGTATGTATCTGTGTGTTTATAGGATGTGTAATAGTATCTGAAAACAAACATGAAGATGAGGAGACAAAGTGGAAAATTTATGAATGACATGTTTTGCTGAAGTGCATCTGTTCTCTTTAGCTTCCTCAGGTTAGAATGAAAGAAAGATAGAACTGTGGACATTGGGAGGTGATAAGTTAAGGTAATTTAATTTGATTTATAATTCCCACTTAGCCTCAGAGATCCCAAGACATTTTCCTCACACTCAGTTTTTTCTTTCTTTCATTCTAACCTGATGAAGCCAAAAAGAGCATAAGTACTCCAGTGAAAAGCTTTGTTAATAAATTTTCCACTTCACATATACTAAAGGATTAATGGATTTCTTTTTAATCTGATGTTTTTATTATTATTTTAATCTGATTTAGTGGCTACTCCATATTTAAAATAGCTGCTCCTTTTTTATTTATTAAACAATGTGTATTACTTCTACCAGCCTGCACCTTCAAAGAAAAAATGCATCCCATTTTTAGGGCAAACTATCGCTTGAGCCAGTGTGCTTTACTCCTTGGCCACAGAGAAATATGCAACAAGCAATGTTATCTGTCTATATTTCCGAGATGATGTATTATGTACAGTATTTACATTATTCAGACTATTGTCCTCATCTTTGTCACCATATTTATTACAACATTTCAGCCGTTGTATGCTCCGGCCTTCTTCAGGTGGTTGGAATGTCGAACTGAACCCTTTATTTTGCTCACTAGGGTAAACTGTTCTAGCTCCATGTGCCATGTCTAATGGATGTCAGTTATCAAAATGGTTTGCCAACTTTTAACTTTCTATTTTTATTTTTTTTTTGAAATAGTGATCTTTTTCTTTTTCTATCACTACAGTAGCATGGAAGAACAAATGAAACAATAGTACCACCGGTGAGCCAAAAAATATAAAATTATTTTATATTGCCACTATAGCAAATGCAAGTAGAATGCCTCTAATGTAGGCAAAGGAGACAGCTTTAGAAGGAAGGATAGAGTTGGTAAAGCCTGGAGTTGATATGTTTGACTGATGTCACGGTGGTGACATCAAGAGAGGCCAGGAGTGGATTAGAGAAGCTTGCTATTTGTCACAAATCTGTCTTTGCCAATACAGAGGATGCAAGTGGAATGTCTGTAATATTGGCAAGTGAGGCAGCTTTTGATGGGTAGAATTGGTAAGGCCTGAAATTGATGCATTTGACCGAGTTCAACCAACCAGAGGATGCAGGCGAAATGTCTATGTGGGCACGGTGTGTGTGTTTGGAGGAGGGTGGGTCTTGAGTTGATGTGTGTGTCAGATCCATTGACCAAAGTCACAGTGGTGACATTGAGAGCCTGCCAGACTTTGACAGTTGACTCATTCTCCTTGCTTCTGCCCAAGTCATTTCTTAAAAGCAGAGGCTCCTAAGCTCATCTTTTGTTCCTGTTTTTTTGGGGGGTTTTTTGGGGTTTTTTCTAGTGGCAACGTTCATGTTTTGTCTATTTTATGTTGTTATATTTTTGAGGGGATTCTTTTTGTGGACCGGATATAATCCTTGGAGTCTGTGCATAGAGGATGACATTTTTATTTTACATCTTACTTTCTTAGTGCACAAATCCGGCCGACATGTAAAGTGAATCAGAAAGAGATCTAATTTGAAGCTGAGTATAACAAAAGCTTCATGTCTGCTCAATTTTATATCCAAAATGTAAACAAAGCAATTTCTAAAGAATTAATGGATGCATTTTTAATCTGACATTTTTATTATTACTTTATTAGTGTTATTATAGTGGATATGACAAAATACACAATGTTTAATAAATAAAAATGAGGTGTCTATTTCAAATATGGAGTATCAAATATAATAATATTTGAAGTAACACACACACACACACACATATATATATATATATATATATATATATATATATATATAGAGAGAGAGAGAGAGATTGGATTCCAACAGAATAAGATAAAGAACAAATAGGAAATGTTTATCACTCTAACATGTTTTACTTTTATTAAATCTTCATCATGATGAAGCAAAACACATTAGATTAATAAACATTTCCTATTTGTTCTTCATCTTTTCATATATATATATATATATATATATGGAGGCACAGTGGAGGAATGAATAGTGGCTTTGATTGAGGAATCGGAGAGCAAGTTCAAATTCCACTCGAATCTATTACATTCACTTATGTGCTAATACCCTTGGGAAAGGTATAAATCCTCTTCTTCTCCCTTCATTATGAGTAAACAGGACAGACTGGGTTCTATAGTCTTGGATGGCAACTGGTCTAGGAGAAGGATAACTCTGAATTCAAAACCTGTAGGGGATTGTTTGGGGACCTTGTGACACGTAGTACACCAGCTCTCTGTATTTGGCCCTTCAAAAACTGTAATCAAATCATATATGCTGGTGTCTGGGCTGTCGGTTCCTATGAACTGATCTACTTGGCCCTCATATGTCGAATTCGATGGGAGAGTCGAGTGTATATATATATATATATATATATATATATATATAAACATGAACACTGAAAGTCCGAGTTACAAATACATTTTTAAAGCAAATTCACACATTTTAGTTTAGATAGGAATTTAGGCAAAATTATTCTTGTCAGAGTCCATCTTGCATATTTACAAATATACCATTCACCCATGCATTGAATACTGCTGCCAGATCTGATCTGGTGCTCCTGTTATTCATCTCAAGGTTCATTACAAATCCTGACTTGGCATCTCAACTTTAGTCACTTTCCCACCAATGTGGCATGGCTTCCCTCTGTCTTTTCTACAAATATTTTCATAGCAATTGCTCTGATGTGCATTTTTCCCTGATGCCCTGACTATATCAATTTAAGTGTGCTATTAGATTGGCATCTAAATCCCACCCATTTAATTTTGAAATAGTTAAATGCAACTGCCACTTCTACTGCAACAGTTTATTTTCCCTTCACTTCCTGCTTTCGATTTGTCTTGCTTTCCTGATAACTACAATCTTCAAAAATTTAAATGCAACATCAATCGTCATCTTCTATCTTCTTGAAACCTGTTCATCTTTTGTCTTTTTCCTCACTTTCACTCCCACACTTCCCTCTCCCTGTATACTAGTGACATTTCTGCCTTGTTTGGGGTAAAATGATTACAAAATTTTTAAAAACTCAATGAATGCAGTTTCCACATAAAGCCAATTATAATCCTAATAGTGATAAACAACTTGCATATGTCAACTATAATTTAAAAAGGTTTAAAAAATTCTGGAACATTTCCTAAGTGACACATCCTTGAAAAACAAAGAAGTTGAAAACAGTTGGCAAATTTTAGGGAAAAATTCAGATTTCTTTAAACATGAAATTTGCATTCCCATTGGACTGTAGTCTAGATAATAAAGATGATGACATTTTTGACAATATTTAAATAAATCTAAATTATATTTGTTTTCATAGCCATTTTAGTAAGACATAATTACTCTCTGAACACTATAATAGTTTTATTTGGGTTGTTTGTGATGTAATGATTGATATGTGCATTAATTTCAATAAGTTTGAACAAGTGACAAGTTAACCTATGAGAGAGTGTAGTACATGTGTGGCCAATGTAAGAATTTAATGTTGTTTTTTGTTTACTGCTATGGGAGAGGCCATCTTCCAAAAGATATGAGAATTTCATGTGTGTGTGTGTGTAAATACACATACATGATGGTTGTGACTTGATTTCAAAGCTTGATCCATCCTCAGATATAAACAGTGTGGATCTGGCCTTTTAAAAAGTTCGTCTAGAATTTTACATTTACTCACTGTTGCTGTATGTTACATTAATATTTTGGTGAATTTCAAATGTCCACCAAATAAGGCACATTCATTTTTATTTTTTATATTCTAGTAGACATGCCACATAAAGTGCAGTGAATGACTTCTTTATGTGTTATGTTATTGATGATTTTTGAGACCTACCCTAGTGAAGCAGACATGACAACCTTTATCAAATTCTATGGCAACATTTTAACTTAAGGGAAATTGACATCAAGACTCTTTTCATGCACACCACAATTCCGTTCAGTATTGTTCACTGTTTTCCTCGAGGATGAACGAGTATTATTATCACTGTACACATATATTTATTACTTTAAATGTTATTTAAAGTGAATATTTCGTAATTGAAATAGACGACTCGTTTTTTTTTATTCAAATTCATTGTATACCGAAATGGTTTTAGCCTGCGCATTATGTGTCAGTGTATGTATGTATGTATGTATATATATATGTATGTGGCTTCATACAGTTTTAGGTGTGCTCAAAACTATCTTTTGTTAAATTCGTTAAGATGAACAAAAATAATAAAATTACCAGCGATAATTTTTTTCTAGCCGGATTTAAATTTACGAGGAACGTTCTAATTCTGGTACCGGTTCTGTTCGTCTTCAAAGATTCTGTGCTAACGAACATCAAGCTTTGCATTTTTTTTTTACTCCTGCAAACCTTTATAAAACAACGAGATATTTCAGGTAAACCACTTTAAATCGCTTTCTTTATGTTATGTGACTCCGACTGCGTTTCGACACTAAGTTGTCAATCGAAATTAATAATTCTCCTTCAAGTTTAAGGACAACACTGTATAGCCCTGTTGATATTTTTATACACCCGTTCCAAAAGTGGGGGATCAATTTAGAATGTGTCTAACTTTACAAATTTCACCCTCATTTTTTGACCGCTTGGTAGTAATGAAGGTGTTTTGAAACGATTTATGATGTTATCTAGTTTCGTTTATTTTTTTTTTTTTTTTTTGTACGAATTAATGTCTGTTTATTTTTTTAAAATGTTAATATTCACACAAATATAACGAGTAAACGGGACATTAGTATCGGACTCTTGAACTTTTAGAAAAGTTACAAGTCCTTTTTCAGAAATTCATTTTGTTTTGTTTCTTGTTTTTGATTGTAACTCATTGTAATTGTAAATTAAAAAGCAAGTTTACATCCTAAAGCAAATAAGTATTGATTTAATTTTTCAAAACGTCTCCTTTGTTCTTTGCTATCAAATTTTTCTGATTGTATTTTGGAAGGTCAAGTGACAACAAGCTTAGTATAAATTCTGATTATTTTCAGATCTAATATTAATTTTTTAAAAATGGATTCAGGTTTTTTTTTTTATCTTTGTAATTTTAGTTCAATCTCTTAAAAAAGAAAAAAAAAGGAGCTGTTCCTAGTACTCCAATTGCTTAATTAATTTGTATTTTTTAAAAAAATTATTCACTTACTTTGAAAAATCAAAACATTTTTTAAAGAAAAATATATTTTTTTTAAATTGTACTTTCAGTTTAAAAAGTGATCATGGTAAGCACTTCCAAAAATGTACTTGTAGGTAAACAATGAAAGGTAGAAAAAGTTACGGTTGATGATGAATAAATAAATAAAAATAGCTAACTTTTTTTTTTTAGAATTACAAGATATTTTGCCTTTGCATATTCTAATGAACGTTTGTGTTAAGTTAGAGTAGTGTAAAATCTTTGTATAATTTTAATAACCCCCCCCCCAAAAAAAAAACACTTAATTTTTTTTACAAATCTCAAAGACTGAAAATAACTGATTTATTGTACCTGTTCATTTGGGGGGAAAAAAAAGGTGAATCAATAAATTAAATAGAAAAATCTTTGGTAACCAATTAATCAATAAAGAATAAAATACAGTTAATTCAATTTTTTTTATCTGTTTTTTTTTTGTTTTTTGTTTTTTGTTTTTTTTTTTGTTTTTTTACATAAACAAAATTGACCAATTTATCATCCTATAAGTTTAAGTACATTTCTTTTTTCAAATTAATTTCATTCTCTATAGACTGAAATTTGTATGAAGAATCTTTTGTAATTTTGAGATGAATGATTATCAAACTATTGATCTCTTTCTTTTTGTTACCACAACAAGTCAATCCATTTTACATCGCTCACTGACACAATCCCTACAGAGAGAAAACTATCGAATTAATTAAAACTAAAACATTGCGATCAACAGTTCAAACATCTTTTTAAAATGAAATGTGTAACTTTTATTGTTGTCTGGTTAACCCTACTGTATTTCCTAAAACCTAGATGTTTGGGTTTTTTTTTTATTCTTACTATGTAAAATTTACCATGTTTTTTGCACTGATTGGATTTTACCTAACATATCTCATATTTACACACAAAGATTAAAATAACTCCTATATATATATATATATATATATATATATATATATATATATACACACAATAGTTTAATTCACTGACAGCAAAAATATCAATTTTCAACTCAAAATTGTCCATGTAAAATACTACATTTATTAGGAAATATATGCAGTTTATACTGAAGAAATCATAAAAGTAACTTAGAAGAGCTGGCTTATACTCTTTTCCTGTTACTCCAGTGTTGTTGCCAGAAAAGGACAAATGACAAAGATGCCCACTTGAATCTCATTCAAATTGTACATGTGTATATTTTAATTCTATGCTGGACTTTAAAATCATTCTCCTTTAAAAGCTTTAAAAACTAATTCTGTTTATTAAACAATTTCCAAAAAGTTCAATAATTATGATTTTTTTTTTTTTTTTAGAGTTTAAGAAATTTTTTTTTTTCTTGACCCCAACATTATTATTTTATTACTCAGTGCTGGGTAGATTTGTCCAAACTTAGTGGGAAGGGAATGTCTTATGTCAAGCTTAGTCAAACTGTGTGTATGTACATATGCCTGCATGCACATTAAATAGAATGAGCAGATGTAAGTCACTCATGCACAAGAGGCATAGGCATGTGCATTAAATATGCACATGTAAATTCACATGCAAACAATAGACTGTGTGTGATGTAGTAAGAATCATTTCATCTTTTATAATATATATGAATGCATGGACCAGCAGTTAGAAAATTTGCTTTCCACCAACCATGAGACCAAAATTCGAATGGTTAATTTGTCAGATGTTCATGATGTTATTGCCCTGTTAAAGTGATCCTAGCATATGTTAGTGTTGGAAAATGCCAGAAAACTTTAACATGGATTGACTCAAGCCTTGTGAGTGAAATTGGGTAGATAGAACTCTTTGGAAGCTGTCAAAAGTTGCTTTTCTTTTATAATGATGTTCATCCTGTACAGGGTCCACGAGCCACTCAAGATAGAGAGTTACAGAGTAAGAAACACAGTTTATGTGGATGTATAAAGACGATAACAGTTAGACTTGAACAAGATTGTAGTGATCAGAGAAGAATCATCTTGGGAGTCAGTTCCACAATGCAATGGTTCATAGGAAGAAGCTGCTTGAATGGAACTTACATCTCACCAAAAGAATAGAAAGGAAAATAGGTTTGTTCACTACAATGTGTATAACATGGAGGGTCTTTGTGCTAGCATGAAGTCCAGAAGAGTTATCCTACAAACACATTCCTATATCCTATGAATATCTCACTGGTTTCTGCTAACAGTGTAAAAATAGAGTGCTTTGGACAAACTGCAAATCTTGACAATAAAAAAAAACATTAAGAGAAACTTCACATGGACATTTATTATAGCTAAAACTACAAAACTAATTTTGGGATATGACTTAAGTCTTTATGGACGAACAGTGGGTTGTAAAAATGACAAGTTGATCAACACAATTACCAATAGGCAAAGTGAAACCAAGCAGTCAACTTGTGTTTTACACATTGCAATCCATGAGGATGAAAATGCTAAGGGATCCTTACAAAAAATTATATAAAGTTACCTTAATCTGATATCCCCCCCCCCATTGGGATCCTAATGCAAAAAAAAATCAAAAGTATTTCACAGAATTGAAACAGGGAGAAATCCTCCTGTATTTATGAAAGTGTGACAGCTGTTGAAGCAGAAGTCCAATATAGCCAAGGAAGAATTTTAAAAGCCTCGACAAGTTGGCATAATTTCCCCTTCCAAATCAGAGTGGAGTTTGGCACTCTACATAGTGCCAAAATTAGATGGAAATTACTGGCCAGTGGATGACTACAGACAGCTAAATAGCATTACAAAGCCAGACTGGCTACCCCATACTAACTCACTAGCAATGAAATTACATGGAAAAATTTATTTTTCAAAAATTGATCTGTCCTCACATATCACCAAATACCAGTTCATCCTGATAATGTATGTAAAACTGCTATCATGGTGGAACAGGATTTATTTAAATATAACTACATGCTTTTTGATCTATAGAACACTACAAGTACCTTCCAAAGGATAGTGGATAACATTTTCTGAGACTTTGTGTGTAATGATATTGTAATATACTCTAAACATCTAGACCAAGTATTTTGAAAGCAAAGTGAGTACAATCTTAAAATTTCAATTTCAAAATGTATTTTCAGTGCTACAAAACTTGACTTCTAGGGATTTAATATTTTGAGGGAAAGAATTAAAACTAACATTAATAAGCTTAAGGACTTGAACAATTTTCCTCCTTCCAATGATTCAAAAACAATGTGATGATTTAATGGAATGGTTAATTTTTACAGAAAATGAATACCAAAGTTTAGTGACTTAATTTTTTCACTCACAGAATGTATCTTTTTGAATCCTAATGCAAAACAACTGAATTTAACAGAGAAAGAATTAGTTTCTTTCCAAGTTGTGAAAAATTTATTATCAAGTGTTATCAAGCATTAGCATTCCCAGATTCAAATGTTAGAAATTATCAACGTGTCACGGATAGTTTGAATCATGCAGCAGGCAACACTTTACATCAAATGATAAATTACCAACCTGTTCCCATTGGTTTATTCCCTAGAAAGTTATCACAGACACAACAGAAATATTCCACCTTCAATCATGCATTAATTGTTGCATATCTAGCATTGTTGCAATTTAAACACCTCATAGAAGGTAGGGATACACTTTTGTTAACCAATCATAAACCAGTGTAATGAATTTACTAGGTGTTGAAGTCAGATATACAACCACAACATTTGAGCTTTATAAGTGATTACGTAACAGGGCATGAAAATATTGTTGCAAACTGTTTATCAAAGCTAGCTAATGCTGTAACAATAAATCTTTGTGATTTACAGGAAATTATCAATCATCAGATTCCGATCAAGAACTTAAACAATTGAAAGACAGTTTGAAACCTTATTACACAAGTAAAAACCATTATCACACCCATTAATGTCAGCCACCTTATGCTTATTAAAATCTAGTTATTACTAGCCATGGATGAACAAATCAATCAAAGAGTTCTGTAAAGAGTACTAAAATTGCCAGCAAGCAAAAATTACTAAACCTACTAAGGGTGATGTACAACCTTTCAAACTACCTTCTAATCACTTTCAGATAGTGCATATGGACATTGTGGGTCCACTACCACCAGTAAAAAAAACTAACTGTTTTTTGCCATATCAGTATCTATTAACCATGATTGACAGGGATACTAGATGATTAGAGGTGGACCCTATAATTGAAATAACTGCATAGAACCTCTCTACTGCTTTCATTAGTGCATGGGTATCCAGATTCAGAGTACCCTTACATATCATCACCAAAGGAGTTAGTTGGTTTGAGTAAGTTGTTTTCAGAGCTATCAAAGACTAAAGGCTTTCATAGACTAAGAACAACTTTGTTCACTAAAAACAGCAATAATTGCAAGGAAGGAACGGCTATCAGCCCTACCTATTGTAATCTTAGGTATCAGAATTACACCCAACAAATCAACTTTATTCATCATATACAGCAGTGACATGGTGTAATGCACAAGTTACAAGACAATAAACCAATGTGACAAGAGTAATGGTGAAGCATCAAACCTGACAATAGGAGACCTGGTGAGTGAAATGTGAAAATTTAACATGGAGAATCAACAAAATCATAAATGGTGATAATACCTGTTATTGATAAAACAATATCAGCACTAAGAGATATCTCACTAAATATTAGCAAGACTATGGAGACAGCAAAGCATGAGAACTAAATCTGGCAGATTGGTTACTTGGAAAAGAGACAATACATACCACTACTATTAATATACTAATGGACTCCATCAAATCTGGAAAGAGAAGTGATGTAGTGAATGCGAAATTATAATAACTCCCTTCATCTTCATAGGACTGAGGAAGAAGGAGAAAAGAAATTTGTGTGCCTATGTGAGATTTTTTGCCTTTCACAGAAATTAACAGGTGAAACAAGAAGGAAAGAAATTCATGAGCCCATGTGAAATTGTTTTTTAGTCCAATAAAAATCTTGCCTTCAAACAAATTAGCCAGTGAACCAAGAAGAAGAAAGAAAGAAAGTAGCAAGCCTAAACAGAATTCTTTTTTATATAAAATGAAGAGAAAGAAAAGTTAAATTAAGGAGAAGAGTGAAGTTATGTGAAAGGTTTTGTTTCAGTTCCACATGACCAGCATTGAAGTACTTGCCAGTGTAAAATTACTCACAAATTATATTATCAGCTTCTAATCAGCATGCAGCACTTCAAAGAATTTTCTTTCAATAATTCAAGAGAGCTAAGTATTTCAAACTCTTAGTCTACTTTTGAATGTATGCAAACCATATATCCCTTCAGTGAGTAACAAACTCTCTTCCCTTTGTCTTTAACATTTTTGAGTATTATTTTGTGTCAGATCATTTAATGTTGTTATGAACAAGCTACTGACACTACTTCGAGCATGTAAATTTGTGAATAAATTCCTTATCTTGTTTTATTAAAATTACCTGTGTGTTTTCTCATCTTTATCATCCTTCATTAATCTCCTGGTCATGGTTAAATCAACTGTTCATTTTAACCACTAATCCTCATGCCACTATAGAGCCTCATGTGCTGAATATTTTATGGTTCATTTTATTTTTACACAAAACCTTTGATCAACATGCAAAAACATGCTACTGGTTTTATTCAAACCTTAATGCTTTGTCCATTATTCTCTTTCATAAGAAAATGTTACAGCTAATTTTTAAAATACAATAAAAAAAAATTTTAAAAACAGTAAATTCTATAAATAAAAGTTTTAAATATGTACAGTGATGACAAAATAATATTTTAAGCCAATTCTTTGCTTCTCACTTTGTGCTTCATGAATGGAGCCAGAGACCAAAATCTGATAAATATTCTTTAAACTGGAAAAATATTTCTGATATTGATATCATTCTAAATATTGTCTTAAATTTTTGGGACATATCAATTTAAAACCATTTTAAAAATGCCTCTAATTTTCTTCTTTCTTTTTTTTTTTTTTCAGAAATCTATCACTCCAGCATCCTGCTTTTAACCTCAAGGTTTTTTAATTCAAGAGTGAAACTATCTTCCTTGACAGCAGAATCAAGACAAAAAAAACATATCTCATGCCTTATCTCTTGTCTGTCAATGTGCAATCATTTAATTCCCAAAAAGCATAATTGTTTGGTCAATTTTAGAATAATATTTATTTGTCCATACCTATATAGGTATACAGATTAGAATTAGTGATCAACTGAACTAATTCTGTACATGTCAAAACTGTCTGAAATAGAATTGTCTGTTCTTTGTGGGTATATACTAACACAAAAAAATCAACATCGATCACCTGGCTGAAGTAATTTTATACTCCAAAGCTACTATCTTGTATATTTGTATGTTTTCACTTTCAAATTGGAATAAGTAATCTGGTCTTTGACATCTATAGTATTTCTTTTTTTTATACTCTTAAGAGATTTCCTTTGTTATTCCCTTTTTAACCTATTCTCTCTGCTTTCTTCCTTTAACTTGGTCAATAACTTTCATACGCCTTTTTCAAATTTAACTTTATTTTACTCAAAAAAAAAAAAAAAAGAATAAAAAACATAATCAAAATAGTTTTTTTCCCCATTATTAATTGTATTTGTACGCTGCAGCATTTATACTCAAATAGAACAATCAATGGAGATGGCTTGTGTCAACTACCATTTTTCCGACAAAGTTTACATTTTTACCAGAAATGGCTTTTCCTTGTGGTACCTTCACACAGTAAAAAGTGGATAGCAGTTGTCTATTTCTTGAGCAAGGTGTTCAAATTACAAGCTCATATTTGTACTTTAGACAAATACTTGTACAAATTACAAAATTAATTATTCTAAGGTGAGAAAACATCCTTGCATTATATACTGCAACAGATTTATTTAAAACTTTATTTAAAAAAAAAGAAGCTAAACCAACAAATATCTCTGTCTTTTCTAGTATATTCCTGTACTTGTTTCATCTCAAAAAGTCAATTATTTTCTGAAAATACATCACTTCTAGCCCCAGTGCAGCTACCACCCATCTTTTTTTTTTCAAAGTGCTTTTTCAATACTTATAAATTTCACATTTCAAGTCATATAACACTTGATTACTACAGACTTCACAGCACTTCTTTATCTATTCCATTGTTACATCTTGTGCCTAAAGTATTACTTATGAAAGCCTCTCTTATTGAAAAAGTTAATTTTCAACCACTTTAAGTTTTTCCTCACTAAGTGCCCACCAGAGCACATACAATTAGTATAAAAATGAGTTATACTAATAAAATTAATATAAAATGAGGTTAACAAATTCAAACCCAACCTTATAATTTATGCTACATTTGTAAAATTCACAAGTCGTGCAAATTTATCCAAATTCTTGGAATAGATATCCAAGCATTGGATTAGCATGTCTTGCTTATTAAAATATTGTGCTACAGCCATATATGAAAAATATCTGCTACAGTTCATGAATCTTGTATTTCAGATGATCTTTCTTGCTGCACCTATAATATTATAAAATACTAAACACCTAAGTGGCATTATAATTATCTTAAAGTGCCTCACTTCCTACCTTTTCCCCCCATTGTGCCAAAAAAGGATATCTTGGTTAGTCTTGTTTCTTATAAGATGCTTCATTACAAATCATATACTTATTCTCTCTCATTTCCTGAAACAGTAAATTTTAAACATCAAGTATTTTATGCAAGAAAAACAACAAAGTAAGTTACAACTGACATTTTTTTTTACATTTTTATAGATAATAACATTTCTGTTTAATATAAACTTGAGGATTTTCACAAGAATAATTATTATTAATTACAAAGAATTATCTTAAATGATAAGTCACAAAAGTTTGATATTTTCCAGTATTTTTCCTGTTCAAGTAGTAAATACTGCTAGTTTATTTGAACTATTCAGTCAATATTAGCAACTGAGATGTATTTCTAGTATTTGTGCAAATTACATAAAGCTGTTTTTTTTAGTGATTCCTTCCAAATTTTTTTTATTAAAAGATATTTCATTCAATATTATGGCTGGTTTAAATTATTAGATTTTAAATTGAAATGTCATAGTTGTACATTATAGATTAGTATCAGCTTATAAAATGTTTTTGAAAGTTTTCTAGGGAAAATCTATCTCTGCATTTCCCTGTTGAAACTTATACTATTTTGATATTTTCGTAAAAATTTATTTTTTAAAACTCCATAAAAAATTAATTTACATTTAATACATTGAAATTATTTTTTAAAAATTAATATAAAAGAATTTTAATTGAAAGTTGGTTATTTTTAAAACAATATTTTTTTAAAATCCATCTATATTAAATTTGTTTTTAAAACATTGAAATTATTTTTTGATTTAAAATTATTTCTAAAAAATAATTTTTAAAATTATTAATTTTAATTACAAACTTATGTTTTAAAATTATTTTTAACAATATATCACTAAGTAGCTTCTAAAATGCATATTAAAAATTGAAACTATTTTATAAATTTTTAAAATATTCAGTGGAACTTAATTAGAAGAATAATTAAATTAAAAATGAGTTTAAAATTTCTGAAGTGAACTCTTTTAATTATTATAAAATATCTGCCAAATTTTATCTCTAAAATTCCATTTCCCATATCTTGCCTCATTTTAAATTCAGCAAGCACAACAGAGCCTTCTGATTCCTTTGTTATATGCCTATATATATATATATATATATATATATATATATATATATATGTTTGTTATTGTGCTTAAGTTATTGACCTTGATATTTTAATCACAGATTTTAAAAAGTTTACTGCATTTCTGACACCAATCTCTTTGTCATAGATCAACATTGAATCATTCCAATTTGATAACTTTTTAAAAAAAGCTGTTTTTAGTAATTTTGGAAGTTATAACATTTTATGGGGCATGAATTTTACAGCCAGATGATTACCTCGTTGATTATCTTGTATGTAGAAGGATTCCTTTTGGACGTGTTAACATTTGAAAAGAAAATAAAAAGGGAAAAGACAAACAGAAAATTTTGAGAGAAATCTTAAAATTGAAGAATTTAATGAGGAAAAATGAATCATGCTGTGGAATCAAATGTAACAAATTCTGAAGAACAGATGCTGGCCAAAGAAGTGAATAACCATATAGAGGAATTGCAACTGCAGAATGCTGCTTCTGCTGCTGAACTGTCAATGCATTCTTCCCCCACAGTGACACCTGCAGTGAGCAGCAACCGTCGCAAACCTTCTGCATGCAATATCTGTGGTAAAGTATTCAGTCGCTATGATAATTTGGAGCGTCACCGTCGCACTCACCAGGGTGAGAAGTTGTATAATTGTAATGTGTGTGGAAAGTCATTTGCACAAAGTTCATACCTGAAGGTACATTATCGCACACATAGTGGGGAGCGGCCATTTAAGTGTAACATATGTGGCTATGCCTTCAGCCGCAGTGATCACCTTGTCCGTCACATCAGAACGCACCATTCAAACAAACAGATATCAGTGACTTCTGAGTTCAGGAGCCCTTGTGAAAATAAGCCAGCATCAGCAGCAACTGCACCACCATCACCACCTCAGAAACAACAACAACAGCAACAACAACAAGTCATAGTTAGTCAGCCTTGTCCTACCAGTAATAACCACCAACACCACTACTCCAGTGAACCCTGCAACCATCACCAGCACCACCACCATCACCACCACCCTCATTCTCATCACCAACCAAACCATTCATTATGTGGAAGGGTAATTAATAACCATAGCTGTGGCACAACCAAAAATGGGAATCAGGACAAGGATCTGAAACATGCCTCTAGTTGTGAAGGAAACAGTTCCAGCCTTTGTCAGGCATCAGGATCACATCATATTTCACCAAGTCTTCCTGGAACTGGTCTTTTCAACTGTGACGTCTGCTGGAAAGCCTTTTCTCAGACTCCACATGGAAATATCCACAAGCGTATACATGCAGCTGTGTTGCCTTACCAGTGCCAAATATGTGGCAAGTCTTTCTCGAGACGAGATAACCTAAAAAGACATATTTCCACTCATGAAGGCCTGAAACTCTTTTCCTGTGAAGTGTGTAGCAAAGCTTTTTCCCGGCGTGCATACCTCAAAGTGCACCACAGAATACACACTGGGGAACGTCCATACAAATGTACAATATGTGACTATGCATTTACAAGAAATGACCATTTAATAAGACATAACCGCCCCAATAAAGGTGAGCGGAAATTTAGCTGTGTACCCTTGCACCCAAAAGACAGAAACGGCTGTGTTAACAGTGAACAACATCAACAGCAACAACAAAACTTACCAGTGGTCAATACTACAGCTTCTCTTTATACTTCAAATGCAGCCAATCAGAATCCACCTTTGGTATTATCAGTTACATCATCATCTTCTGATATGGCCCCTGCATCTGCACATCAAACACTGCTTACATCATCATCAGCAGCATCATCACCTACTCATCATCATCACCACCACCACCACCACCATCCATCCCACCATGCAACCTGTGTTCCTATCGCCCAGATCTTTCCAACCATCCAAATGTCATCAGTTACTCCTCAGATATTGCCAAGTATCCAGATGAGCACGTCACAAAGTTATTCTTCATCTTCAGTCACACCCAATACTCACAAAGACATCATTCACCATCAAACCAAATAAACGCGTTTTAATACTCATGGCAGCTGCAAGTTGAGTGTGTTCAACAAAGGTTGTTTATTCAAACTTATTGTTAAAATTTTTTTTTTTTTTTTGGTCATTGCTTGACCAGTTGTTAGCATGTGATTTACTTCGGCATGAGAAGTTTTAAGACATTTGTTCTCGGTGCAACTTCATTTTAATTTTGTTTAACATTTTAATTGTTGTGCTCTTTGGTCTTTAAGAATCAGTAAAAGAAAACTTAAACTAAATATAAGTGATTGTGTTTTTTTCACAGACGTTTACTAACTCAGCTGCTCCTATATACAAACAATGGCAACAAGAAAAGCTTGAATTCAAAATATCAACACTGTTTATGGATGATTGTTCATTCAAGGCTCAAAATATGCAATGGAAAAAATAATATGTCATTGCTATGAATGCATGTGAAAAGTGAGAAAATAACTTAATTGAAATATTAAGGAATCTTATTAGATTAGAATTCCAATTCAAATAAAATCAGAGGATTTTATCTTGTCTTCACAAAGTGATAGGTCTTTAAATAGCAATATATATGAATATCAAAAAGGTAATTCCTGTTTCTCAAAACATAAATGAATGTTGATTTTATTATGCACAATGGAAGTTAACTTATACTGCACATTTTAGCCCAGATCTGAATTTAAACTTTAACAGAAAACAGCCACAACAGCTGTCGATAAAATCCTGAAAATATAATTGCATCCAATCAAACCAGTATTTTTCTTTTTACTTTTTTTTTTTTTTTTCTTTTAATTAATTCTGTTTTTGGTTGATTTTTAGGATTTTTCAATTTATTTTTGAACCAGCATTTTTCAAGTTATTTTTGAACCAGCATTTAGATGATTTTGTTTAGCAATGTATCAATTTTGATGGATTGACTTAATGCTAAAATCTAAATATTTTGAACACAATACAGTTTCAACTACAGATAAATAGGTATTGTTGGTAATTCAAGCATTTAATAATTGTGTTTTATTATTAAGAAGTTAGAATATAATTATATAAAAATATTTGGCTAGAATATTTACAAATGTCTACTAGAGACTTTTAATAATAAAGTAAATGAAAGGAATGTTATAATGTTTTTTTTGTTTTAGAAGTAATTGGGTTAGTAAAAGTTTTTATCTACACAATGTATTGTTATATATCCACTTCATCAACATTTTTTATAAGTATTTTTAAAAAACAGAATATTTTAATTTATGATTGTTTCATAGAAATTGGTTATAATGAAATTGAGAGTGTTTATTTTTTTAAATTTTTTATCAGTTCACTTAATGCAAGGCAATAACGCCACTAAGACACAAGCCCCTACTGGAAGTGAAAGAGAATGAAAAGACCTTAGAAGGAACCAGAAACCCAGTCCTAACTAGAAAACAAGGGTCAAACCACTATTCCTGTTCAAAAGATTGGTGAACCTCTCTACTATTGAGGAGAAAAAATAAAAATAATTAGTGAATAAAATTTCAGAGTTCAGGCAGAGATGTTAGAAATATAGAGTTCAATTAGACTTTAGAAGGAACCAGAAACCTAATCTTATAGGGGAAACAAAGGATAAAATTCTACTCCTGTTCAAATGACTGGGAACCTGACGATAGAGGAACCTATCTACACCTTGTGAAAAAAAAATATTGAATGTTAGTTTTTAGTTAAGGAGCGATTAAAAGATAACATGAAACTTGAATCTTCATTACACAACATTTTATTCACTCCAGTATTTTGTCAGTTACTTTCAACCAGTCTGCAGTATGACAATCAACACTAGATGCCTTTCGTTAGGTATGTAATCCTTACATTCTCTCCCTGCAATATATGAAAAACTGCCTGGGCCTATTTTTTATATATCTATTTTTATTGATTCAAATGATATTATAGCCAATACTCTATATTTGAAATAGATACCACATTTTTATTTATTAAATAGTTTGTATTATATCTATCAGCATGTGCATTTGAGAAATCTTAGCAAAGAAAAATGCATTCTCTGGCAGGGATCAAACCCACCTTTGTAGGAGAAACTATCATTTGATCCAGTGTGCTTTACTGCTCAGCCACTGAGAACAATGCAAAATGCAAGGTTCAGTATTTCAAATACAGAGTATCCACTATAATAATGTTTGAAGTAATAAAAATGTCAAATTAGAATAAATCCAATAATTCTTTAGAAATACTTTTTTTTTTTTTTTTTTTTTTTTTTTTTTTTTTTGGACCTTCTCACATTTACAATATTGGATGCAGGTGTGAGGTCATGGTGGTATGGATTGACCCCAGATCAACCCTTGGTGCACCCTGCTTCCTTGATGTCTCATGTGAACTTGAAGCCAAGTCTGTTTTGTTACAAACACCTCAATTCTATAATTTTCACTCAACTAGAAATGATGTAAAGAAATTATTTTTGAAAATATTTTCATGTATTATCAAATTGAAATTGCCTAATATTTTTTCTAATTTTTTCCTGCTTAAATGTAAACAAACAACAAAGACTAAAACTGTTATAAAACAATATTATAAAAAGATTAAAAAACACATTGCCCGACTTTGTTTACACAGAAAAATATTTATTATGTTAAAGGTATATTAACAATGTTTATTCTTTATGTTAAAGGCATATTTATAATGTCATGATGCTACATAATGATTATTTAAACATAAGAACACTCATGATAAGCTGAGGAGTTTTAAAATTCTGTCATGGCAGTGTGTGAAATTTATAATTCAAATATTTACTCATTCTAAAGTAAAATTTCAATTATAAAGTTTAAAATTTTTCAAGAAGTTCAACTACTTTGAAATTGGACCGCAACTATAACAACTGACTTGTAACTTAGACAGAGGTGGTGGGAAAACATTTTACCAGAAATGGTTTTGTTTTTGAGGAAATTATAAATACAGACAGGTTTTAGGAAAGTTAAAAATTATTTTAAAAACTTTTTAAATATAGCTTGCAGTGTAAAGAAGAAAAACTCCATTTTAGAAGATGCATCAACAAATGCCATTTAATAATAAATGATATTTCATTTAAGAACTTAAGCATTGGCATCACCAAACAATATCACTTAAAATTTTTTATGATTTCTTTTATATTTTACTGATTATTGCATTAAAGGGGTGTTTTTCATGAATTTCTAAAGTTGGTAATCAAAAAATCCCAGCATTTATCTTTGTCAAAAGCTGTTGATTTGTTCCCATAGTAAAAAAAAAAAAAAAATAGTGAAATGTAATATCCACCACTGACTGTTGAACTCACAAGTAAACCAGAAGCACTAAGAGTAAAGTTTAGATGATGATGATAATAATAATAATGATAGAGGTGAAAGAAATAGAAAAATTTAAGAAGTATACTTGATCTCTGGTTTGTGGTTGCCAGAATATGGGACATTCAGGCCACTATTGTCTCAGTTATCATTGGGGTGTTAAGGTTTATACTAACAAACTTAAAGACCTACATTAAAAAAATCAGAATAAAGCCTAGTATCCTATTGCTTCAGAATTCTGCATTACTTGGTACTGCAAATATTCTGCGAAAGATGCTGTTTGAGTTTGTATGACTTGATGGAGAACATCTATAATACAAGATCTCTGATTGAAAACAAAAAAAAATGGCAGAAAAAGAGAAGAAAATAATAATAGAAATAATAATAACTTTTTTTTTGTCATTTTTAATACTCAAATCTAAATACTAATGTTTGTAAAAAAAAAAATACTACCCATGCCTATACTGTTGACACACAACATAAGCATAGGTAGTTTTTTCACAAACATTATACTCCTGCTAGAATATTGCTACTTGTCACAAGTTAACATCCCCAATCCATTAATGATTCTAAGATGCAGAAATTCTGTTATTCAATGACAATAATAGTCCAGGGTCTTCACAATTGAATATATATCTACTGTGGCCTGTATTTAGCCACATACAAATGTCACATGAGATTTAAAGTAATTGAAAAAGACAAAGTAATATCCTTTTCACATGCAATATTGTATCTAATTGTAATGGTATACTAGTGCAGACTTAATCTCTTATATTTAACAGGACATTTTATTTACTCTAATACTACAGCCCCAGAGCCCTCATCTGAAACATGGACCTATATTCTCATCTGCAATGTCTGAGAGACTTTTCCAACTCACTGGTGGGATGGATGGTTATATATCTGTCTCTGCCATGTGTTTTGTTCACATGCTTGCAAACTAGCATGCAGCTGTAGGATCACATGATTCTATACATAGTGGCCAGGAAGTCATATCAGCACCTGGCTCCCATGATGGGTTTATATTGGATATTGTGAAAATTCTATTCTGGTATGACCTGAGGTAACAACATAATGAAGTACT